TGTTGCCCATATACAGAAATCTAGCATTGGTGTGATGTTGTGCCGAATGTACTTTGATACTTAAGTTACAAGTTGGGAGCAAACGGGTATGAAGCAAATATAGTAAGAGGGCAATGATCTCGAGGGTGAGAGTATGCTTCAGAGTGTGTACCGAATTCTCATAAGGAGTTATATAAGGGAAGACAACTTACCTCGATTAGAGTTGCTCTTTTCCATATATATGGAGAGAGGAAGAGTGAGTTCGAATGTGAGGGGCGGAGAGAGGGAGGCAACGTGTTTCGTTCATGTCCAATGGGACCACCGACAACCTTTTTCCCTCTCTATCCCCTCGATGGGGGTGTGGCGCCCTGTGTGATCCCGTGAGGCGTATTGTGGTTTGGTATAGAGTGTCAGCACGCTGTTAGCTTATGATTCTTTGTATGAGATGTCCAATGTGCTTGGGGTAGGATCCGGTGCGCTCGGTCTCTAATGGATCTTCTTTTACCCAGCTCGCATAGTTGGACAAGCTTACAATGCTTGACACCTCGATTTTACACAATAACATATCTAATAAGTTCTTGAATTTTAAAAAGTGTTTAATATGTCCCTAAATTTTTAAATTTGTACCTAATAGGTCCCTAAACTTTAAAAGTGTCTAATAAGAACTTTTAGTTTCGTCTAACAAAATCTTGTCATATTTGATATATTTTTTTTTTAAATTCAAGGATTTATTGGATGAAAATTTAATTGTGTCTAATGTTATAGGGTGAAGTCGAAGCCATTGGACCCAAGTACGAGTTTAGATCTCCTAGACCCGAGGAATAGGGACGTGCCAAGCCCAACTAGGTTTAGGTCGAGCACACTGACTTGACTTGGGTACGATGCAACCAACACCAACGGTTCAGGCATTGACACCTCGGGCGAATCCTCTACGTCGTCGTGCCCCTCTGCGAAGTCAGGAGGACGGCAAAATGTCGGTGATCCCACATAACCTATTCATCTCTCTTTGTCTCAATATAAGAGAGGACTGAAACCCTAGAACTATATATGAAAAACTTCCTTGCGAAAAATCCTAGTGTTCTATGTCTCACCCAAGTTCTAACTTAGGATCCGTTTGATAACTATTTTAGTTTTTGGTTTTTGGTTTTTAATTTTATGTAGAGTAGAGATGACAATGGTGTGGGTGCGAGTGACGATGCTCTTCCCCATTCTCGTGAAAATGTTTAGTCTCCGTCTCCAACTCGTTCTTGGGTCCGAGAGAACAAAATTATTGGTTTTATAATTGTTTTTAATTAGGGGTCGGGACATGCATTTCCTATACACAGGACCTCCCGCTCTGATACCATATCAATATTCATGGGGTTCCATCTCAAAACCAATTGGTAATTTGAGGAGTAGCTCATGTCTATTATAAACCATTGTTAAGTCCATTCTCTTCAATGTGGGATCCTTAACAATCTCTAGTCTACATAAAATTTTCTCTCCCTAATATGTATTTTCAATTTTCTAACTTTTTAAAAACAAAAAACAAAAAATGGTTATCAAATATGGTTTTTGTTTTTTAAAATCAGAAAACCAAAAACCAAAAATCAAAAACAAAAAAGCTAAAATGGTTATCGGGCCCTACAATTCTATTTCTGAAAAATTAAAAACCAAAAACCAAAAACAAAAAACAAAATGGTTATCAAATGGGCCCTTAGGTGTTTGGAGTGCAATCAATAGAGCAACACATCGGTATTAGATTTCTATGTGCAGGTCTAATTGGAGCTTGAAGACGAGACCTACGTGTCACCAATATGGTACCCTACAAAGCACTTGTACCGAAATCAACATAAACATCTAATAAGACCCTCACATTTCAATTTTGTATCTAATATATTCATGAATTTTGAACAACGTCGTATAGGTCAGAATGTATTATATAAAAATTTATGAACTTATTAGATACAAAATTAAAAATTGAAACTCAAGACCCATTAGACACAATTTTTAAAGTTTAAGGATTAAACTTGTAATTTAACCTTTAATTTTATTAATCATTAAAAAGTTAATCAATTTAAAACCTCTTATACTTAACCTATGATATGTGACTTTAAACTTCGGTCCATGTAGACATCATGTGTCCGTCTCAAGTTAAGTAATTTCTTAAAAATTAATGATAAGAAATAAAATTAGGTATTTCTTTTAATTCAAGTTCAAGGAATTAAAATTTTAGAAAAATATTTCATAATCTGGAGACGAAGATAGAATAAAGGAAAAAAAGAAGAAGAAGAAGAAGAAATTATATCTCCTATTAATCTATTTAATCAATCAAAGAAAGGAAAAGAAAACGGAAAAAGAAGAAGGGAAGCGGCGTGGAATATAAAAAAGATTACCGTTGGGGCCAGCGGTGACGTGGCGTGATGCAGAAGGCCCCGTTTGGTAAAGTTCACACTCCTCAACAAAGACGACTCCTTATTTATTAATAAAATAAATTTTATTATTAATTTAATTTATTACATATAAAAAGCACACGCTTTCCTCATTCGTAATCCCATTCCGAACCGAACCAACGCCTTTCCCATTCCCATTCCCCTTCTCCATCTTCTCCATCTTCTCCATTACGTTTCCTTCTCCATTTCTTCATCACACTCTTGATTCTTCCTCTGTTTCCACATAGTTCTGCACGATTCTGATCGTAATCTGTTTCTGATCGTCGCCGTCGCCGCCGTCGCTGTACCGATTCTTTCGATTCTTCTTCTTCTCATTCATGGAAGCTGGAGTGGATACGCCGGAAACGGGAGCCAGGGGCGTTCCGGTGGACTTCTCGGCCGACGACGCTCTATTATCTTCTTCTCCTCCGAGAATTCCCAAGAGACTTCGTCAGAGACTTCTCGTGGAGTGTAAGTCTCCCAGTACTGTGGAGGAAATCCAGGCCAAGCTTCGTGATGCTGATCTTCGTCGACAGGTTCCTAACCTAATTATAGTCTTTCGAATTGTTCTTTCTTTTCTTCTTTTCGTTTTTTCACTTGAAGAGGAAGACATGTTTTGAATTCGAAATTCTAGTATTTCTGCCGTTTCATCTCGCCGATTGATGTGTGAAGAGGTCGATATTTTAGTTCTTTAACGTCTCTTGCACACACCTATCCAGGATATTTTTTACGTTAACTTAATAAGAGTTGCTTTAGTTAATATTTATAATTTTTTTTTTTTTGGTGTATCTTGAGCAGTTTCTTTCCATGTTTAATTTCGGTTTTTCTTTTCGAATTTTTATCCGTTCGTTCTCAGAAACTGATACGGGATTAAGTTTTGAACTAATATCTTAGAGGCGCGTAATCAGAGTTCCCAATAATATTCCTGCTAATAATTTTCTCGTCTCTCATTGTTCTTTTAATGCCTAATTTCTTTTCCATACCTTTAGTTTACTGTTACTTTTTTAGTTATTTTTCTTTTTTGGTTGTTCGGTGGTGGTTTGGTCGGTTCCTTTCTCTCACATGAGCTTTCTTCTGACTTCGCTTTCCTTTTTCTCTCTTTCATTAAAAAAATTAATTTTCCTCTGTATTGTGTTTAGTAGGAAATTGCCTTGTTTAAATATCTGTTTCGTTTCTCTCAAACAATATCATCCAGCGGTAACCTGCTGGCTGGAGAGTATTGACAACAGCACAGCAGTAGAAAGACTGATAGCTTTTATTATTATCTTGTCATCTATTTAATCATTTTTTATTATTCACAGTTTTAATTACATTCAACGTTTGATTTTTAATAGTCGTCATCTTCGCTCATTGGTTTCAACCTTTGGCAGGAAACTTTAAGCCAACTGATTTTGTTAATTCTTTTTTTTTTTGTTGGAGTGCAGCAACATTATGAGAAGTTGTCCAGCAAGGCTCGACCGAAGCTGAAAAGTCCATCACATTCTTCTTCTCAGGAGGAAGACCTTGGTCAGCGGCTTGAAGCTAAACTCCTGGCTGCCGAGCAGAAGAGGTAAATTAGTAAATATGTTTCCAGAATTTGTATAGTAGATGAGCTTAATGGGAAAACTATTGGCAATTTGAAATACCTGAGACCATTGTATGAATCCAAGGCAATGCCAGAAACATGGACTTTTGCAACCAAGGAGTTGCTGGATGAGAAGTCTCTATCTTAGAGAAGGCCGGCTGGCATTGCATCCTATCTAACTGTAAAATTTTGTTTGTTATTACATTTGTGGTGTTTGAACGTTCTATTTTGATCTCTCTAGTCTCTACACCTTTCTGCGGCACTTCATCTGCATTTAAGTTTAGATTATTAGGATTGATTTCAATAGTGATGAAGTTCTAACTCACGGTTACAAAAAGAATGTCTTCTGTGTTAATTCTGGGAATTTTTGTGATCTTTATTTCTATATTGGTGACTAGCAGTAAGATTTTTTATGTGGTCTCCGTAATATTATTTCTTGGAAAGATAATGGTCTGACTGTTATGCATCATATATTTTTAGATTTTCAAACTATAAGGTGATGATCTTTAAAAATGACAGGTTGAGCATATTGGCTAATGCTCAAAAGCGTCTTGCTATGTTGGACGAGTTACGACAAGTCGCTAAAACTATTGTGGAGAGACGTAAAGAGAAAGAGCGTGAGGAACTTGGCAAAGAAGTTGCAACTCGGGCACAGCAAGCAGAGGCCAACAGAATGCTTATCCTAAAGGCTTACAGGCAACGAAGGGCCACATTGATGGAAAGGTCATCTATGTCATTGGTAAGAAAGATGGCTTGGGAAAACAAGTACAAGGAACATGTGCGTGCTGCAATTTCTCAGAAGCGTGCAGCTGCTGAGAAGAAACGACTGGGTTTGTTGGAAGCAGAGATGAAGAGGGCACGTGCTCGGGTGTTGGAGGCTCGGCGCGTGGCTATGTCTGTATCTCAACAACGTGAGCTTGAGAGGATGAAAATGAGGGATAAGTTGGAAGATCGAATGCAAAGGGTATGCATGTTAATTTTCAATTGGAATTAGAATAGCTAGTCACATGCCTTCGATTTGTGTCTATCATTCTCATCCTTTCGATGTTTTGGTAGATGAGAGATTTCAATTGGAAATAAAATAGTTAGTCTTAGTGGGGGACCCTGTTTTATGTTGACTGATTTTGTTTTGATCACATGACTCTGGTTCGTCTGTACCATTCTCATCATCGTGATGTTTGGTGGATCATTAGGCAAAGAGAAAGAGAGCAGAATACTTGAGGAAGAGAGGAAGGCCAAACATAGCTAGTCGAGTGAATAGAATTAGGATGCGCAAGCAGGCTGACATCCTATCCCGAAAACTAGCAAGGTATTTTTGCTCTTCACTGCTTTTGAGATTTAAATATGAATTACTTATTCAAAATGCCTTTTTGCTGTTGCCTTCATTATTTATATATTAGGCTGTAAGATAAACCTTTTATTTTGATGTAATGGGAACATGTTATAGTTAATTTCTTATGAGGATGGGGTTGAGCACTTCTTCCTCCCTGCTTTTAAAGATAGGACCCTTGTAGAATTTGAAAACTATACATTATGGTTCTCTGTATCTTGATCTGATAAAACTACTAATTTTCGTTCTTTGTTTTACAGGCGGAGATATTTTATCCTTAATCTATATTTTTTAATTAGTTAGCATTTTTCATATTATTATTATTACCATTACTAGTTTCTTTTTTTGCTATGGTTGGCGGTTGGGGGTTTGTGGATAACTAATGCTAGTCTTTATCTGAGGTCAAATCAGCATCATGTCTATAAGTTTTGCCATGATGGCACATTTCTTCATTCATCCTTGAAAGAGGTGAACGATCTCATTGCATTTGCTTTGCCTATTGGATACTTTTGATGTTGATTTTGGTGCTGTAACAGATGTATTAAAGGACATCTTCTCTTGAAATGAAACTGCATTTTCCATCATTACAATTTTTTTCCCGTTAGGTGCTGGAGGAGATTTCAAAAATTGAGGAGGACAACTTTAACATTGACTGAAGCATACAAGTCCTTGAAAATTAATGGAAGATCTGTCAAGTCAATGCCTTTCGAGCAGTTCGCTGTTCTGATTGAATCAAGTTCTACTCTCCAAACTGTTAAAGCTTTACTTGATCGGCTTGAAAGCCGCTTGAAAGTTGCTAGGGTTGTTGCTGCTACAAATTATCCATCTAATTTTGAAAATATCGACCACCTTCTTAAGCGAGTTGCTTCTCCTAAAAGGAGGTCTACTCCAAGTTCTTCGGCAAGGAGCAGAAATGCAAGCAAAGTATGTTTTGTTAGGGAGGGAGCTAGAAGTGCTGCTAAACCATCCAGATATTCAGTTAGAGTGGTCCTTTGTGCTTATATGATACTGGGTCATCCTGATGCCGTTCTTAGTGGTCAGGGAGAACGTGAGATTGCTCTGGCCAAGACCGCTAAAGAATTTGTTAACGAGTTTGAACTACTGATAAAGATTATTTTGGAAGGGCCTATCCAGAGTTCAGATGATGAATCAGAATCTTCATCACCAAAACAATGGACCTTCAGATCTCAGCTTGCTGCATTTGATAAAGCATGGTGCTCCTACCTGAATTGTTTTGTGGCGTGGAAGGTGAAGGATGCACGGGCGTTGGAAGAGGATTTGGTGAGAGCTGCTTGTCATCTTGAACTTTCTATGCTTCAAACTTGCAAGTTGTCAGCTGGGGGAGATAATGCTCTTACACATGATATGAAGGCCATCCAAAAGCAGGTAAGATTTGTATTTATGAACTTTATTTTTTACGGCAGGTAATTATAATTATGACTACATATCTAGGAATTTTTATTAGTAATTTTTTATTTAAATTCATGGATTAAAAGAACATGTCAGAAAGTGCAATCTTTTATTATTACGAGTCAGGCAAATTTAGCAATATATCTTTTTAGAAGGATGACAGATATGTACTAATATGGAGTGTTATTGCGGCATTTAGCATTCTTGACACACTTTCTGGCAGTATAATTGTTAAGTGTTCGGTAATTAGTTTGTAATTATGTTGATCAGGTCAGTGATGATCAAATACTTTTAAGAGAAAAGGTTCAGAACCTTAGCGGAGATGCTGGGATTGAGCGTATGGAGAGTGCTTTATCTGAAACACGATCTAAGTACTTTGAGTCTAAAGAAAACGGAAGCGCTCTGAGTTCACCAGTTACACAGTTTATATCTTCATCTCTGCCCAACTCAGATGTCCCTTCTGTTTCCAGATCAGATATCAGGAGCAGTGAGGACAAACATGGCGAGAGGCCATCTCGTGTAGTTCGCTCTTTATTCAGGGAAGATTCATTGGTGGCCAAACCAAATGATTTATCTGAATCTAGAAGAAGCATTCCAGATGGTCAGCTAGGCCCTGTTGGAGACTTGGCCACTGAGAATGAATTTTTAGTAAATGAGTTTCTCCACCAGCAACATCATCATCCCTTTTCTGACAGCTCAGACATGACCAAAGAAGACCCGAACAGTATTAAGGTTTGCAAGTTTGTATAATTTTTCAATCTGAAAATCGGTTTCGTTTTTTGTTGCCTTCGATAATCTAAGATTTGCAAATTGTCTCTTAGCAGAGAACATATAAGATTATTCATATGCGTCCCAAGCACTTTTTAAGTTTCAGGCTCTAATATGAAAAGGGCAACTGCAATTTTTTCAGCTTTTCTCATTTTTCTTTCCAGGTAAAGATAAGAGAAACAATGCAGAAGGCTTTTTGGGATGGCATCATGGAATCTTTGAAACAAGAAGAGCCCAACTATGATAGGGTGATTCAGCTTGTGAGGGAGGTCCAGGATGAACTTTGCAATATGGCTCCAGACAGCTGGAAACAGCAGATAACTGAAGCCTTTGACATAGACTTTCTTTCCCAGGTATTAATCATACTCGTCCCGATACAGTGCTGAAAATTGTTGTCTCCGTAACTGTTTTCTATAAGTTTCTCTTTTCATTTTCTGTCATTACAAGATACTCGAGTCAGGGAACCTGGATATGGACTACCTTGGGAGGATTTTGGAGTTTACATTAGTCACATTGCAGAAGCTCTCCTCTCCATCTAAAGAGAGCAAGCTGAAGGCTAGTTACGAGAGTTTATTTGGAGAGTTAACTGAGATATGTTGTACCGAAGATAAGTCGAGCAATCCATGTGTGATCGCCTTGATTAAGGGTCTGCAATTTGTCCTTGAGCAGATTCAGGTTTGTTCTTACTTTTAATCTCTTCTCCCTGAGCTCTTTGATTGAAGAAGATTATAAATGGTATGAGAAAATAATGGCATCCTCTTTCTTCATAGTAATGGCAAAAGGTTTGATTATGTTTCACTTCAATTGCAGGTGCTTAAACAAGACATAAGCAAAGCTCGTATAGAAATTATGAAGCCTATTTTAACCGGACCCCATGGTTTTGATTATCTTAGAAAAGCTTTTGGCAACCGATATGGGATCCCATCTGATGCCCACACCAATCTGCCGAAAACATTGCAGTGGCTTTCATCTGTGTGGCATGGCAGAAACCAGGAGTGGGAAGAACACAGGAACATTTTATCGTCGTGGTCTGTAGTTTCCGAGGGAACATCACAGGGATGTCTTCCATTGACCTCTCTAAGAACCGGTGGAAGTATTGTCCCCCTGACGAATGCAAACCAACAGACTTCTACTGCCAGTGAAACTTCAGGTACTGACAATTGAATCCATTGGAGTTTCTGGAGTGATCATTGGTTCCCTTTTTCTTAAATAACTCAGTACATGTCTCAAGTTAGAGCCGGATCTCACTTTTTCGTCGTTTGTTTCTTTTCTATTAACGCACAGGTAATGAACAACCAGAATGCAGTGGAGGAGAACTGGATGTAGCTATCAGGCTCGGACTTCTGAAGTTGGTGACCGGTGCGTCTGGTGTAACGCAAGAAGTATTACCAGAAACGTTTAGTCTTAATCTTCACCGGATAAGGGCCGTTCAGTCTGAAGTTCAGAAACTAATCGTAACGACAACCAGGTAGAATGGCTTGAAACGTGAACCGAAATCGGTTGAGAACCGTAGTAATTTTGTACTGTTACGATAACAAATATTTTACGCCTTGCTCTTTGCTCTTTGGTTGCAGCATACTTGTTTGCCGGCAGATCCTCCTGGGCCAGGGCAGTTCAACACTGACCACTACAGACATAGAAACCGCAGTCTCGAATTGTGCTCAACAGATTTCGAACATGCTAGACCGAGACAAGGATGCTGGAAGTGAAGAAATCACCGAAGTGATAGTTAAGTTCACAGGCGGAGATGGCGATGCGGAGGTCGTTGAATCAAGGAGGGTAGTTATCAGTAGGATGATAAGAAAATGCTTGCAGGCAGGGGACGCCGTGATTGAAAAGGTGTCTCGTGCCGTCTACAAGGGAGCGAGAGGAGTCGTTCTTGGTGGAAGCGGACGGAGTGGAAGAAGACTAGCAGAAATGGCTCTCCGGCAGGTCGGAGGGGCGGTGCTAACAGAAAGGATGGTGAAAGCTGCCGAAGTTTTAGTAGGGGCAGCCACTGTATCAGTTAACGTTCATGAAGCGTGGTACGTTGATTTGGTGAATATGATTGATTCTGAAATATGAAGAAGTTGAATTTGATGATGATAGTAATAATAATGTAAAGAAGAAACCACAGTTGTGTATATAATTAGTTTAAATTGTAGAAGTAAAGATTCCTGGGGTGTAATTGAATGTGTAAATGTGACGTGGAGTTAAAATAATTAAATTGTATATATTTAGTTTTTTAATTCGGACTTCTTCTTCTGTTTGATTGGACCCATAACAACTAGTGAATATTCCAATGTTACACTTAAAACAAACTTGCCATCAACAAAATTGGATCGGAAGTTTGATTCCTTTATCCACGTATATATGCTGTATTAAAAAATAAAAAATAAAAAATAACAATATTCATTTTTTTCAAATAGTATGTCGAAGTGGCATGCTCACGTGTTCAAGGTTTTTTCTTTCTTTTTAGTACGACAAATAAGAATTGGAGATTCGATCTCATGACTTTTTGGTTAGATAGAAATGTTAATTGCTAAGCAGCTTTATAGTTAACAAAATTTAACAATACTTTTTAGTAGCTATTAAGTTTTGATGAACGCACGAAATCAAACATTAAATAACTAATAAATTTGAACACAAGTCAGCTTTATTGTCATTTTTGTTTGAAATACTCAGACATATGATAATACTTTTTCTTAAGGATTCTTCCAACAAAAACTTACCAAAGGTAAAAATTGAAACACTTTACATCTTACCAAGGATTCTTAAGGATTTCCAAAATCACCATTTAAGTGATACCTTAAAAATCAATTGAAAGTGAATTTTGGTAATGCCAAAATCACTCCCAAACACAACATTAATTATATATGCAAGCGTGTATTTGACATGTTTCTTTTTAACTATTTCTCAAGCTTTGTTTTAACTACAGAAAGAATTAAATTTAAAAAGTCTTGGTCTCTTGTATAAGGAAGTATTTTTTTTAGTACAACATGTGGGGGCGGTGTTAGGGTTGACTTTTTACTGCATAAATTTGTGTCGGTAGTCCTGTTTGACCATAAAAATGAACAATTTCCCATCATTATTAGCTAAAAAGGCTTACATATTCTTAAAGTAGAACATGCATAAAATATTTCTGGATAATTTGCAATATATGGTACTTTAGGAAAAATATGAGAAAAATGCGATCAAAGTTGGAAGAAAATAACATAAATCTGTTTTGCAGGAAAAAGCGCTTCGTGTCACGGTTGTACATTTTTCAACCGCGTGGC